CGACGTCAATTGGTGCCATCACTGACTATTGGGGATGAGTCATTGCCCCCCACGGAGAGGGTTCGCAATTTAGGCGTCCTCTTGGGCTCACGGCTGTCTTTAGGAGAACACTTGACGGCTGTGGCCGGGAGGTCTTTTTATCAGGTTCGCCTGATTCGCCAGTTGCGTCCCTTTCTGGATCGGGACTCGTTAAATACGGTCACTCATGCCCTCGTCACTTCACGCCTGGACTACTGTAATGCTCTCTACATGGGGCTCCCCTTGAGGAGCACCCGGAGGCTCCAGCTGGTCCAGAATGCGGCCGCATGGGTAGTTATGGGAGCAGCATGGCGCTCCCATGTGGCTCCCCTCCTGCGCGAGCTGCACTGGCTCCCTGTGGTCTTCCGGGTGCGCTTCAAGATCTTAGTTACCACCTTTAGAGCGCTCCATGGCTTAGGACCGGGGTACTTACGAGACCGCCTTCTGCCACCAATAGCCTCTCACCGCCCAGTACGCTCCCATAGAGAGGGGCTTCTCAGGGTGCCGTCAGCCAAACAGTGTCGACTGGCGGCCCCCAGGGGGAGAGCCTTTTCTGTGGGGGCACCCACCATCTGGAACAAGCTCCCCCCAGAGATACAGAAGATTCCGGATCTGCGCACTTTCCGCCGTGCCCTCAAAACATTCCTGTTTCAGCAGGCCGGCCTGGCCTAACTTTCCCTTTATATTGCTTTTTGATTTTATTTTAAACTGGGATGTCTTGAATTATCTAGGACCAGAGTGTTTTAATTGACTTTTTATTAACGTTTGTATTACATGTATTTTTATCGTTCGCTGTTCACCGCCCTGAGTCCCTTAGGAATAGGGCGGTATATAAATTTAATAAATAAATAAATAAATAAACACGGCTCTATACTGTTGTCACCCAGGCCCAAGTAAGTAGTAGGAAAATCAGTCAGTGAAAAAACAAACAAACTTTATTCGAATAGCTGGGAGTTACTTCATTCCCAGCGTCTTTCAACTAAATTAAAGCAAATTCTTCCCAACACAAATTCCTCAGTCCTATCGCAAACCTTGATCCAATTAGGCAAACTGCCAAAGACCTTTCTTGGCAAACATTCAGAAGTCACAGATACAAAAATAAATGCAAGACGTAGATGAAGAAGATGAAGTTACATTGTTTTCCAGCAAAGCCCGAACGCCGTTGCTGGTCTGTTTTAAGCCTTATGGGAGAGGCCAATGATCTCTTGGCCCTACTCCTGAGTTGTCTCTTTGCTTGAGCTGCTCTTGTCTTCTGGCAGCTCTTCTCATGCATGCATTAGGAACAGGCTCCTCCTGTTCCTCTGCCTCACTCCTGTCAGTCTCTGGAGGCTCTGGAGTCCGCATTACAGTCTCCGATGGCCCTGGCCCCATCTCTGCCTTTGACGCAGAGCCCTCATCTGGGCCTTCCCCAACCTCCAGGACTGGCCCATGTTCTTCCTCAGCCTCATCGCTATCCAACTCCACTGCCAACTCCGCAGGCTGCTGGCGGACCACAACGTATACTATTTATGTTTTTTTAATGTATTTCATGTTATGGCTTGCACTAGGGAGACTAAACTAATTTCATTGAATATATTATGTACAATGAAAATAAAGACTATACTATACCATGAATCAGGTGGTTTCTTTGTGGCTACCTGCTTTCATGGTTACTGGCTCCGTCAGGCACATGGTGGGCACCCTCCCCCCTTGATTGAGCCATCAACTTGCTCGAGCTCCATGGGCTATCTCAGCTTTCTTACTGTTGAGTCCTAGTTTCTCTGCTGTCTGCAAGCTGACAAAGCATCGGGTGCAACCTGAGTCTATCAAGGGATTGAAAACCCCCCGGTTTTCTGAGTGGGATAGCACAATCTCCACTCGGGCAGTGAAAGGGACAATGGCTCCACTTACCATCGCAGCCCAATGGCCCTCCTTCCTGCATTGGAAGCAAGCTCTCATTGGGCATCATGAGTTCTCCTTGGGACCAAGGCAGGGGCTCCTGGGGTCCTCTGTTCCACCGAGTGTCTCTCCTGGCTTCTCCGGGGTCAGTACTCACGTCCAGCATGCCTTTTGTACTCTACCAGATCTAGCTCCACTGTAGTTGCCAGTAGGTACCAGGCATGGTGCTCATCCAGGATTCTTCGGGGCAGGCAGTTTTGGTACAGCTTCTACTCAGCCCATCTTGGAATTGATAGACCAGCAATTGCTCCGGCCACCCTCTCAACTTCCCCGTCAGGTTTCAGAATTCTCAGATGTATTCAGCCACCAGCCTAGTTCCTTGTGGTGTGGTCCAGATCTCTGCTTCTGCTCTAAGGGTCTGCGAGGGGTCCCTAAATCTGGCCTGGAGCTTCTCCATAAAAGTGTCAATGTTCCCCAGCTCCTTCATCATGGAGGGATACCACCCAGGCCACTGCTTCCCTCTCCAGACTTGCGGTGATGGCCTTCATGCATGCATTGTCATCCGGATAGTCAGCCTCATACCAGTCCAATGGCACCACGCTTGATTTAGAAAGTAAGCTAACTTCTCTGGCTACCCGCCAAACATCGCTCTCAAGGGAGAGGGTTCTCAGTTGTCCCAAATCAGCATGTAGCCCAGTAGCATTCCCAGTGCCTGTGGGATTGCTTGCGCCTACTGTCCCGCAGCACCCTGAAGTACTTCGGGTTGTCTCAGGGCCTCCTGGTGAGTATGTTTGTCCCTTGGGGACTTAGTCATTGATCCCAGCATTGCCTGGTGTGTTGATGCTGTTCCACACATCTCCATTCCGATAAACCTCTCATTGTTCCACTCAAGGGCTGTGGCACACCGTCAGGTATTTTCAGTGTGCCACTCCATGGCCCTCTTGGCTTTCCACTTCAGTCCCCGAGTCACAGCCACCCCCAGTGGGATTAGTGGGAACTTGCCTCAGTGGCTTTTCCCACTGTGCCCCGCCTTGGTTCCTTCAGTTCAGGAAGGGGGGCTCCAGCTGCAGCTCCTTCCTCTTGCACCGGCGGCTGCTAGGTTTTCTCTGCTCACCCCTTGGATCGATTCATGACCACTTGCATTCCAGAGTCCACTAGAGTTCCCACTGGCACTTCTTTTGACGGGACGTCTCAACCTTTGCTGTGCCTCTGCTTTTTACTCTGCACCAGACATCGTTGTCTTTTCTCTCTTCACAGCACTCTCAGAGGTGACTGAGTAGGCTGCGCTGCGGTTGATAAAGGAGAGTTGGTTTAATGTCAAAGTCTGACTAGCAACCCCAAGAAAAGTAGGCACTCTCAAGAATTTTGAAATCCCAAAAGCAAAACTTTATTGGAAACACAATTCCAGTACTGAAGAATCAAAGCCAACTCTGGTTTTTCCTGTGCAATGCATGCACAGTTAAACAATAGCTTTCTTTCTCCTCACCCTTGGTTAGTCACATTGTCCAATTAGGAATCTTTTGTTTTGAGAACTATTCACTTTTCTGTCAGAGACTTGCATCAGTGGCTTGGTGGGTTCTTGGTTCTCATGGTCTATCTCTGGCGTGTTTGCATTCTTTCTCCCTTTCCCTCCTTTCAGTTCTTTGAGAAGTTTGAATAGCGAAAAGGCATTTCAAAAATTCAACCTTGACATGCATGGTGCAACATAGAAGAACAAATCCATCAGGACAAGATTCAGCAGTCCATCTGCATTTAAAAGACAAAGGCCACTCTTTGGAAGACAGCAGAGTCCATATTTTGGAGAGAGGGGACTACTGGTTTGAAAGAGGGGTCAAAAAGGCAATTTGGACATTCTCTCAACAGAACGGAAGAGATATGATATCATCTATCTCCAATTTACAATACAGCTGTTTTAAGAAGGTTCCACACTCATTTGCACTACTCAGGTGATCCTGAGGACATAGATATACCTCCAAGTGGCCTCAACGACTCTCTAAAATAGAGGTGTCAAGCTGGTAGCCCTTGGACCAGATGCATCACATACAGGCCACGCCCATCCCGGCTCCACAAAGGCAAAAAAATGTCACGATATGTCACATGACACGATCAAGTTTAACACCTGTGCTCTAAAAAGAATTCAAATGACCAGTTGTCTGCAAGGAATATAAATCCTTCCATTCCCCACCATCTAATCAGAGCTGAAGAAGCGTTGAGAAGTGAAATGTCTTCAAAGAAAAACAAGAAAATCCAGTTGCCTCTTGGAAAAGCAGCTTTGGGACAACTATGATGTGATTATTTAACCAAGCTTTTTGTACTTATTGCTTTTCAGTTTGCTTATAGATAGTTCTCAATTTATAACCATACATTTAGTGACCATTCAAAGTTATAACGACACTGAAAAAAGTGACATGACTGTTCTTCACATTTATGACCATTGCTGCATCCCTATGATCACATGATCAAAATTCAGATGCCTGGCAAGGATCAGGTTATTATCTTTTGCAATTTCTGACAAGGAAAATCAATGGGAAAGCCAGATTCACTTAATAACCATGTTATTAATTTAACAACTACAATGATTCAGGTAACAACTGTGGCAAGAAAGGTTGTAAAATGAGGCAAAATTCATTTAACAACTGTCTTACATAGCAACAGAAATTTGGGGTTCAAATATGGTTGTAAGTCAAGGACTACCTGTATTATTTTAGCCTATGAAAAAATATTTGTTTTTCAGTTTCACCCTGATTATACTATTGTATTCAATAAGTTGGCCTCTTGTGAATGATTGAAATTTCTTTGACCTTTATACAATATTTCTAGATATTTTTCATTAAAAACATTGTGTTCATTTTGTGATGGCTCTGATCCTACGTTGTTGTTTTTTTTATTCCTTATAGCTATGGATGCTTTCCTTTGTGCTGCTTCATTCACATTTAACCATGAACATTTCATAGATGACATTAGTGGAATGGGTAGCAGAAATTATGCAAATTACTAAAACAATGTATGGACCCAATTCTGTTTTTCTGGGTGCAAAAACATACTACCTTGTCAAAGATTTTCATTAAAAATTCAAGTTATTCTTGTAAATACTAAAAAAATACCTTGTAGCTAGGATAACTTGATTGCTGTGATTCCTCTTTTTTGTTAAACGTAATTTAAAATCTTGGCTATGATAACTTTTATTGCTTGCAGGCACTACCAAGGAAGGAGGAGCTGGTGCTGTTGATGAAGATGATTTCATAAAGGCATTTACAGATGTTCCTGCTGTACAGGTAAAATGCTGTATTTTACTGACCTAGGAAGGATGGAAAGCTGAGTCAACTTTGAACCAGTCAGGATCAAACTCCAGGCTCTGGGCAGAATTCTAATCACCATGGCTCCTGTATGACTCCATAATTGTGGCATCACCAAAATGCTGATTCTGTTTGCAACCATTTGGAGAATGTATAGATTGGCCATGGCTAAACCACAATTTCCTTAACCGCAGTGCATTCAATATGATACAATGACATATTAAGCATACCAAATCTAGTGACTGTTTTCGACGATATGAGCTTAGCACCAGAACAAATATTCTATACCATAAACAAACTTTGTATACCATAAATACAGTATCAATATTAACAAAGTGTATTTATCACATGAAGTATCCAGAGCACAAAAAAATGAGTTACACTACAAACTCATTCAATACTATCATTTATCTTAGTGTAAATCCTGGGAGAGTATATACACTCATTTATTTAGGGTTTACTATTTTAATCTTTCTGAATCCTGCACCCCTGATCAGTTATATCAAATTTGCAGTTCATTGCTAAAAGAAACATTTAAACCATGATATCCGGAAATAAAATAAACCCAGAATATACATTATAGGGTTGCTGCAAACAGTTCTCACTCTATTATTTTCATCACCATAATATATCTAAAAACAAAAAACCTGCTTTGGTGGTCCTCGACTAACAACAGTTCATTTAGTGATCATTTGAAGTTACAACAGTACTGAAAAAAGTGATTTACAACCATTTTTCATACTTATGATCATTGCAGCATTGCCATGGTCACATAATCAAAATTCAGACGCTTTTCAATTGATTCATATTTTGTTGCAGTGTTCTTGGGTCATGTGATCACCTTTTGTGGTCATCTGACAAACAAACTATGGGGAAGCCAGGTTCACATAACAGCTGTGTTGCTAACTTAACTGCAGTGATTCACTGAACAACTGTTGCAAGAAAGGTCGTAAAATGGGGAAAAATCCATTTAACAAATGCCTTGCTTAGCAATAAAGTTTGGGCTCAATTGTCATAAGTCAAGGACTACCTGTATAAAGGTAAATGAAATATATAATGTTCGCATTTTTACATAAGTATTTGAAGTTTTCACCCTCCAAAAATGTTGAGCTACAAAGTTGATAGATTACTCTTGCTCCTTTTACAATTTCTTAGTCTCAGAAAAGAGTGAAGATCGTTTTATCTGCTTTGTTGCTGAAAAGCTTGGAACACTTCTGCAGAACAGGACCAAGCCCCAAACATTTTCTACCATTCTTTTGAACTTAAATTTTAAAACTGGAGTCAGGGGTATGACTTTTTTTACTTTAAATTTAAAAGTGGAACTAGGAATACTCACTTGTCTGACCTAATGGGGAAGGGACAAGTGTGCAAAAAGATACTTTGAGTCAAAAGCCAAGCAGAAATTATGGCTCCCTGTCATTTATGAGAAACAGGGTAACACTTGTCTAAAATCAGAACTTAAAGCTTATCACATTTTGAGATTTAAAACTAGCAGTGAAATATTGGCACAAGAAGAAATGCAATTTCCAGGCCAGAAACATTTAAATAGGACTAAAGACTTTGGACTAATTCTGGCTATTCAGTGGAGTCAGGATAGGGAAGCTCCAAGAATTTCCAGTCAACTAGTCGGTGAGGAGGAACAGCAGAGCAAAGGCTTCAATTAAGCTCTGAAAATCTAGTTAAATGCTAAGATTAGAAGTATATCTCCATTGTGGCTCAGTAACAAGTAATTTACAAGGTTGAGAGAAGTCTTTGCTCCTTCATAACTGAGCAGTGCACATTCAGAAGCCCTCTTTTTAAGGGAGGGTAGGGGTCAGGGGTGAAATGCTCCCGGTTTGGACCAGATCACCCAATCAGTAGTGATGGCGGCGGGCGGTTCGGAGAACCGGTAGTAAAAATCCCTGCCCCCCCCCCACCATGCCCAGCTGAGCTGCACAATCATCAGAGGCTTTTTTTTTACTTTTAAAATGCTTTTAAAAGTTTAAAAAAAAGCCACCGATGATCGCGCGGCTCAGCTGGGATCATCAGAGGCTTTTCAAAGCATTTTTTTCTGCAGCTTCTTGGCCGAAAAGGTGGTAAAAAAAAATGCTTTGAAAAGTCTCTGGCAACTCCCAGCTGAGTTGCCTGATCGGCAGAGAGGTATTTTTTAAAATGCCTCTCTGACAATCCCAACTGAGTTGCCTAATCGGCAGAGGCTTTTCAAAGCATTAGAAAAAACGCTTTACATTCAAAAGCATTTGAAAAATTAAAAAAAAAAGTTGGCCACGCCCACCCAGTCACATTAACCCCCCCCACTTAGCCCCGCCCACAGAACCGGTAGTAACAAATTTTATATTTCACCCCTGGTAGGAGTTCATCCAATTCATCAACACTGGACGATGAACTGTTCATATTAGTACTCAATTTTCTCTGGAATCCACAGATTTTTTTTCCTAGGTTTGATCTTCCAGATCTTTTTCCTTACACCAAAATTTAATGATTATTATATAATTTAGAGAAATTCAGGCAGTAATATAATTTCTTTAGTGTAATTTCAGAGTAACAGGTTTATTTTATCTATAAAGTTCTATTACATAGTAAACATGAAAATGATTATATGATGTATAAATAACTTTCCAAAAAATCACATTTTTATAGTATATAATAATTTAAAAATTTACTTAAGAATTTATTTTCCTATGTTAATATATGCTCTTGTGGTATTAGGTTGCCCTCTCTTGGCTGCTGTAATATAAGCAAGTTGGCTTTTATACTAATATAAAAAGTTATGAAGTCACCATTTTTATCACAGCTGTGATAGTTGACTTTTCACAATTGTTTTATGTTAAGTAAGTCAGTATCCCAGAATATTTTGTGCATTTCACATTTTTATGTGCTACTTCCAGTTTTCTTGGGTATTTACTGAAACAGAATTATTATCTTTCCATCAGTGGTCATTTCATTGTATGTTTATTGTTGAAAAATGATATAATATTTACAGTTTCCTTATGATTTATTTCTACATTCTAAAAAATATGAACCACCTACTTATATTTTCTTATCAATATTCATATATTTTTCTTAAAATCCCTGTGTTGTACCAAAAAGCCAGATTCATTTCCAATTGCTTTCTCTCAGTTATGACATTGGATTTTACATTAATTGATTCACAGTTAAGAAAGGATTATCAAAACTATTAGCAAATAATTAATATTTGCTAATCATTGTCCTGTTCTTCATACTAAGAGATTTCGTGGAACTGTAAGCGTGTCACATTGGGCACTTCCAATTAATAAGCCATCCTGCAAAATAGAAGTCACAAGTGCAGCACCAGCTATAGGAGACAGTCTTACTTAACTGCTTAATTGTTTTCAATTATTTATTGGACAAGATATGGATTTGACTGGAAGTTTCCTTTTCAGATTTATTCTAGTCGTGAACTTGAAGAAACACTAAATAAAATCAGGGAAATCTTGTCAGATGATAAACATGATTGGGATCAGCGCACTAATGCGGTATATCTATTTTTTAAATTTTACATATTTTTAAATGTGATTATATAATTCATTATAGCATATTTGCATTTAGAAAAGTTAATATTCTTATTTGCTCTTTCACTATCCCAGCTTAAGAAGGTCAGGTCATTACTTGTTGCTGGAGCTGCGCAATATGATGGCTTTTTCCAGCATTTACGACTATTGGATGGAGCATTTAAATTATCTGCTAAAGATCTCAGATCACAGGTGGTTAGAGAAGCATGCATCACAGTAGCGTAAGTATAGATCAAGAAAACAAAGTGCCTTGCTGAATGTAACTGAATATTGAGAGTCCTGTTGGAAATATACCAGATGTGCCTTGGTTTTTTAAAATTTCTATACAGGTAGTCCTTTATTTATGACTATGACAAAGCTTAATAATGCTTTGAATTAACAACAGCATTTGAAAGACCTATAGAGCACTTCTGACCATTGTAAAACATACCACTACCAAATTGTAGGAACATGATTGTGATCTGGATGCTTGGCACCCTGTTCACACTTATGACTGTTTTCCATCAATCATGATCACCACTTGGCAATATTCTCTGCGGCTTCCCTGAAAGTCAAATGGGGAAGCTAGCAGGGATGGTTGCAAGCTGCTGCCACCTGCCAAGAGGACTCCCTCTCCTCTCTGGGGGCTTTAGAAAGAGCTGTCTGCAATTCAAACAGAGAACTGAAATTCTTTGACAGGGAGCTTTCAGCCAGTCTCCAGAAGTAAGACAGAACCAAAATCCATGCAGGATTTTTGTTCCCTGAGCAAAGAAGTATCACGTGCTTCAGGAAAATGGGGGAAGCCTGGTGCAGGCCATGCATAAGTTCACGCTGAAAATTTTGCTTGGATTTTTAGTGGCGAAGCAGTGCAATAAAGTAAGGATCATGGGCTGCCTCAGGGTAGAGAAGACCTTGCCAGGTAAGGAACAAGCTGTGTGTCTTTCCACTTGGGTTGAAAATCCTGTTTGGATTTTGCAGGGAAAATTTTCAGCTACTGAACAGAGAGACATTTGCATGCAGCTTGTACCAGTACTCTGAGAGCCTTCCCCATCCACCCGAGGCACCTAGGACTTCATCTTCTTAATCAACCCCTGAGATCTCCTAATAACCACAACCAGGAATGCCAGGATTTTAGTTTTTAAGCAAAGCCATCACATGACATCTCACTTAATAACCACTTCTCTCATTGACTGAGTATTGTGGTGGTAAATCAAGAACTACCTGTATAAATAATATAATTAACACAAAATACCTGCATGAACAATCTGTTTTGTAATCCAACTCAAAGTTAAGTTAGCCCACTTAACAACTGCCATGACTTAAAACTATAATTCTGGCCTTAATTACAGTCATAAGTTGAGGACTACTTATAATAGGATTTAGCAGGTACCTGCTGGAAATGTTTGTGCTTGCACTCAGAGGATTAAAAAGTGTTTATTTTCTCATCTTCCTTCATGTAATTCTAAATGTGCAAAGCATTAAAGTGCCTAGGTAAGGATAAGCTTCACATTAGATGGACACAGCTGGTTTTTATGAATAATATAAAGTATTTAGCTTTTTTAGAGGTAGATGTTTATTAAGGAATCTGAAGTTGGCTTGTGTATGCTCCACTTCCTATCATCCCTGCTTTAATTTAATGTTTCATATGGCTGAATGCATCATTCATAGAAGAGGACAATCCACACTTGGCCCCTAAATTTTGCTCTATATGTAGTTGCCCTAGATTTTAAAGATTTTGATTTATAATTTAATCACTATAGCAAATTTGAAGATACTGGATGGTATAAATATGTGTATGCATACAGGTAAATCCCAAGTTACAAGTGAATGTTCGCTCGTAACTCTGAACATTAGCGAACGTTCAAAGTTACGTGATAAGCGTCCCCTAGATTTACGAACAAGTCCCAAAATTATGAATATTGCAGCACCACGGCAGTTGTTCATTCTTACAAATGACCGCAGATGCTCTACAACATTCACTCCCCCTGTTCCCCCCCTCCCCCAGGTCAGACTCAATTACTTTTCAAAGATCTCATTTCTATCAGTTTTTTTGCCTACTTTGTTACTTCAGGCTTTCAGTGCATTTGTAGAAAACAATCCTAACATATCATAAGATCATGCGAGATCAGTAGTGTGATCTCGTGCTATTGATCTTGTGTAATCTCGCACTTTAGGATTGTATGTGAATTGAGGCCTCGATGTTTGCATCGGAGGGAAGGCTTCGGTCCTTCAGGCCTTCCTCTGTTTGCAGTTTCCTTAACGAAGCCTGCAGAGAGATTACATTCCTGCAGGCTTTGGCAGCCCTTTGCAAAAAGCTTTTGTTGGCACCAGCAGAGCTTGGGAGGAGCGGGCACATCCCTCTGAAGCTCTGTTCCTACCAGCAAAGGCTTTTTGAAAAGGGCTGCCAAAGCCTAAAGGGATGCAATCCTCAGGCCCCTTGCCGACAAGAATGGAGGCCCAGAGAGCCGCTTGTGGCCTTCCGGACCTCCTTTCTCACCAGTGATCCACTTGATGAGGCCTCTGGTGATGAAAAAGGAGACTCAGAGGCCTGCGCACAGCCTTCCAGGCTCCTTTCTCACCAGCGATCCACTTGACAAGGCCTCTGGTGATGAAAAAGGAGGTTCAAAAGGCTGCACTCAGTCTTCTAGGCCTCCTTTATTGGCGGCAATCCGCTTGATGAGCCTCCTGTGATGAAAAAAGGAGGCCCGGAAAACAGAAGCCCTTTTTTGTCCCTGGAGGCCTCGTCAAGCAGATCGCTGGTGAGAAAGGAGACATGAAGGCTGTGCATGGCTCTCCGGGCGTCCTTTTTCATTACTGGAGGCCTCGTCAAACCCTTTGATGACAAGAAAGGAGGAAGCAGGCAAAGAAACAGGCTGGAGTGGAGCCAGGTCTTCATCAGTTAAGCCACCAGCACAGCAGGGTGGGGGGGAAGCAATTGTAGGGACCCCAGGGGAGGGAGAACAAGGTATCTGAGGGTCAGGGGAGGCCTTGGGTGGTCTGAAGTAGGTAGCCTGTTCCATCACTAGGCCACCCCATGGCCTTCCCCATTCCGAGATACCTCATGTGCATTTAACGAGCCGTGTATTCGATTAGCGAATGCATGTGCAAAAGCAGGGAGCGATCTCGTTCCAGGTACGAGATTCATTCCCACGAATCCTTGGGTTACGAATGGAATGGGAAGGTTCCATTACATTTGTAACTCGAGGACTACCTGTATATAAAAATTATAGTCTGCTATTCTAGATTGAATTCCAACTTTATTGCAACTTTTAAAAATGATTTAAAAGTACTAAAAAACTCAGTAAATGGCATCTGTCTCAGGTGTTAATTATCTATTTAATCCAGCTGGGTCAAATAGTATTGAAATAACTATGTCTTCTTCTTGTGCCATATCCGTCATCGGACGTTGGCAATTATGTTGACAATCCTATTTTTGTCAACAGCTGCATGAAAAAGTGCTGCTGAGTTTTGTCCAAACCAGTCCCTTAGGTTTTGAAGCCATGATGTTTTTCTTCTGCCTGGACCTTGTTTGCCTTCAATCTTTCCCTGGAGGATTAAGTGAAGGATGCTGTATTTTTCTGGGTGTCACATCACATGTCCAAAATATTCTAACTTTTGCTTTTTAATGGTTTTGATGATTTCCCTTTGCTTTCCCAGGCGGCTTATCACATCCTCATTTGTGATTTTGTTAACCCAGTTTATACGAAACAGCTGTCTGTAAATCCACATTTCAAATGCTTCTAGTTTCTTCAAGTGGTTTTCTGTCAGAGACCAACTCTCTACTCCGTAGAGCAGGATAGAAAAGATGTAACATCTAAACAAGCCTGATTTTCAGTCTTAGGCTTATGTTGTGACTGCAGAAGACCTTTTTCATTTTGAAGAATGCTGTTCAAGCTTTCTCTATCCTTGTCTTTACTTCACTGATCATGTCCCAGCTTTCATGTAAATTAAAACTGAGGTATGTGATCCTTTCAACTTTTTCTAGTGGTATTCCTTCCGAATTTATTGGTGGTAAATTAATGGGTTGTTTGCTGACGACCATGATCTTGGTTTCTGAGGTGTCAAACCATATTTTTCAGATATTTCTGAGACACTGTTGATGAGGAGCTGAAGGTCTTCATGCTTACTGGCAAGCATAAGCATATATTTAATTGTAACATCAGTGTATCTTAAATTGTTGATCTGAACACTTTACTTTGAGGCCACATCAATGTTTTCCAGTGCTTTGTTGAAAATTGACTCAGAGTAGATATTAAACAACAGTGCAAACAGAATACAGCCTTGTATGACCCCTCTTCGTATTTCTGCATCATCTGAGTATTTTTGGCCTAGTCTCACATTTGCTACCTGATGCCAACATTGATTCTTTATGATTCGGATGTCTTTGTCATGTAGTCCCACTTGTTTCAGGATTTGTAATAGTTTGCTGGTCTTATTTTATCAAATGCTTTTTCAAAATCAAGCACATGTAAACACTGTGATTGACATCTCTACAGCACTGTACAAGAACTTGAATGCTGAACAGGGCATCTCGTGTACCAAGATTGTTTCTGAAACCAAATTGTGTGTTACTTAAACACTCCTCAATTTAGTTGTATATTCTTGTGTGAATTATTCTCAGGAATATTTTCAGGGCATGACTCATTAAGCTTATTGCTCTGTATTTGGTACACTTCTTTGCATTTATTTTTTTGGGATTGACACAAAAGTTGATTTTAGCCAATCATTTGGTATCTTTCCTGTTTCATATATTTGATTGAAGAGCTGCAGTAAAAATTTCTTCCCATTGTCTTCCAGCAATTTTAAAATTTCTGCTGAGATATCATCACGTCCTGTAGCTTTTCTTGTTTTTGCTATTTTTATTGCATGTTCAATCTCCTCCATAGTGATGTTTGGTCCAGTTGTTATCCATCCCATATCAATATCATCCCTAGTGTCCTCAAAAAGTTCTTCAATATATTCCTTCCATCTTTTTAGTTTTTCATCCTCATCCAAGATGATTTTCCCCTCCTTGTCAACTAAATTGTTGATTTTCTTTGTGTAGACACCTGCTTCTTTCACTTTTTTGTGTAAGTTGAAATTATCATGAATACGTTCTGTCTCTTCTATTTCTTTGCATCTCTTTGCAAACCACTTTTCTTTTGCCAGACAAATTTTTTTTGTAATTGTTTTCTGCAATTCATTGTATTTTTCTTTGTTTTTATTTTTATAAAAATAAGATGAAGTATTTCATCCATCATCC